TACTACGGGACGCTACGGAAGCATTACTTCATATCGGTCCTCCGCAAAGCAACAGTGGGCCCTGGGGTTGCTCTTGCCTCGCTCGATGTGCAATCCACTCTTGCCCTTCGGCATCAACCTACCGGAGAGTACCTCGGCTCGTCATTACCAGCAGCCGTTGCAAGGCGTCGCTTCCCTTTCAGTTCTTTTGACTTAAACTCCCTGCTAGCCCACGGAGACACTTAAGTCTTTCTTTAAAGTCAATTTTTTTGTAATACAATATCTGGACTTGTTCCTTTTGTTCCTCCAACCCCGGTCCCCCAGAATAATACAATGGCTGCCAGAGCCCCGGTCCCTCAGAATGACAACGTCGCTCACGCCCTCGCCGGCGCAGGCGGCGGCATCCTGTCCATGGTGTTGACGTATGAGAATCACAAATTTACCAATTGAATGCGCGCGGACTGCTTACCTGACTTTTGCGACCTGCAGCTATCCTCTCATTACCCTCTCCACCCGTGCTCAGGTCGAGTCCAAAAAGGCCCAGAGCAAGTTTATCGACGCTGTCCAGAAGATTGTCGCGCGCGAGGGGATTCCCGGACTGTATGCGGGCATCAACTCTGCGCTCTTTGGCATCAGCGTCACCAACTTTGTCTACTACTACTGGTATGAGTGGACCCGGGCCTTCTTCGAGAAGGCCGCTGCCACGGCTGGCCGCGCCAGCAAGAAGCTCACCACTGTTGAGTCCATGATTGCCGGAGCCATCGCCGGCTCTGCCACCGTCATCATCACCAACCCCATCTGGGTCGTCAACACTCGCGTCACCACGCGCCAACAAAACTCCGTGGCCGACTTGGAGTCCGGCAAGCCTGCCAAGAAGCCCACGACCTTGGGCACGCTGATGGCCCTCCTGAAGAACGAGGGTCCCCAGGCTCTCTTCTCCGGCGTCCTGCCGGCGTTGGTCCTGGTCGTCAACCCCATTCTTCAGTATACGCTCTTCGAGCAGATGAAGAACTATGTCGAAAAGAGAAGAAAGGTCACGCCTACAGTGGCCTTCTTCCTCGGTGCCCTTGGCAAGCTCTTCGCCACGTCGGTGACGTACCCTTACATTACCGTCAAGAGCCAGATGCACGTTGCTGGTAGCCAGAGCAATAAGAAGGAGGGTATGACTGAGGCACTGCGCAGAGTGATCCGAGAGGAGGGATATGCCGGGCTGTACAAGGGTATGTGGTGTCCCGCTTCTTCTACTTTCTTTCGGTATGAGCGCAACAGCTAACATGGTGACTCAGGTATTGGCCCCAAGGTCACCCAGAGTGTCCTGACTGCCGCTTTCTTGTTCGCCTTCAAGGATGCGCTGTATGAGCAGACTGTCCGCCTTCGTCAAGGCCGCAAGGCTTAAATCACTTACACTGCCAAGGCCAGTCAATGCGCAAGACAAGCCAAAAGATACGGCTCTCTGATAGAGTGCGCATTGCAAGCCAGCCTCCCGCGAAGTGTGTACTTGTTCACAAGCGGAATAAACTCCAGCAAGAAAAGTCGGTCGCCAGCTGCGGCACCTTTGAGCCTTGATGCGTGACGAGGAAATGTTGGAAACAGACAAGGTGAATTCAACAAAAATAAGAAGAAAAGAAAAAAAAAAAAACAATACAAAGAAAAACCATCATAATAGGAGAAAGGAAGAGATGAACATATAAGAGCTTGATACCAGAAAAATATCTGTACCACCAAGACTGTAGTAGGCAGGTTCATTATCAATTTACTTCATTAAGAACTCGTCTTTGCCCAATTAAACGCTCAGTTACCCATCTCCATCGTCACAACTGGAACTATCCTGGGTACAATCCACCACTCGTGATACGCCTTATCCGGAGTCGGTACCGTCGCCGTAACATGTAGCTCGTTCTCCGTACCATTTCCGCCAACTGTACGCCGCAACGCCTTTTGCAGACTGGAAATTGCAACTCCCGCAGCTATACACGCTTTCAATGCGCCTTTCACCGAGGCAGTCCATGCTTCGTGTGATCCTACTGAGAAACTCTCCTCTGCTGAATACTTGCTAAGTGTTTCCAAGCCTCTCTTTGCACCTGTCGCTGCGCGTTCGGCGTATTCGAGCAGTTCCTCTGTGCTAGTATCTGGCTGCTTTGTGCCGAGAGTAAATTCTTCAAAGCTAGGGAGAGAGGGTAAACCGATGGAAGCGAATGGTCGCATACGGAGATCGTAGCGTAGCTGGTCGTTGCTGTATGGGCGTGGGGGCGGTTTGACGATTGCGTAGCGATTCAGGACAGTGTATATGCAGCTGAGGGCATCGGAGAGCTCCCAAGTCACTGCTGCTTGCAGCAGAGAAAGCCTCGTGTATGCAAGAGATCGTTGAAGCTGAGCCTCTTGGCTCGGGTCGAGGGTGGGTAAGGATCGAAACGTGGTAGCCTGTCGCACGACGAATGTCTTAATTCTTTCGGTGTGTTGGAGGCGGGATTTTGCCAGGTAGTTCAAGTACCAGTACATTCCAGCCAGCTCATCTGCCTGATAGACCTCAAGCTCGAAGCCTATCTGGACAATGGCCTCCATTTGTTGCAGCTTATATAGATACGTCCACGATGACAAGGGTAGGGAGTAAGTCTCAATAGGGCTGAGGCCAAACGTAGATCGCTGCAGCAGTGGCGGCTCTTTAGTCTTGATCTGCAGGATTTGGTCAATGTCTTCGGCGTCGACTTGCAGATTCTCCCAGTCTCGGATCAAGTGGCACAGTGTTCGACGGACGCGACATCTGTTTTGGCACGCGGTTCTGAGAATGTCGAGGAATGGTTGTGCGGCCCTTTGACGGAAGAGCTCCATTTGTTGGGACATGACGAAACGAGGGTCATGGACGGCTTCGATGTCGTCATTGTCCCTGTCAAGGAACGGGTTGGCGGGGAGGGTAATGAGAGAGAGGTCGTCGTCGAGGAGTTGGCGAATGCTCATAGAGCCCAGGATCTCCATAGCGTTGAAGAGGAATGTTTGTAGAAGGGTTCGCACGTAAACCATTGGTTGGGGTTTCTTTGATTGAAAGGTATACACGAAGTTCTAACAATGTTAGATGTGGTTGGCAGTGAGAGAAGGGAAGAGTGCCATACCTGAAGGCATTGCGAGTTGGTATATTCTAGGACACCAATGACTTCGAGACCGTCCTTGAGCAATCGCGATAGATGATTAAACGCATCATCAAATTTGAGCTGAACAATTGGTCGCGGTGGCATGGTACTAGCCAATTTCCTCTGTAATTTGGTGCTGAAAGCGTCCTCAACTGACTTAGTCAAGAAATGCGTCGAAGATATCTGAGGCAGGATGGCAATCGCCTCTTCCCATGGTACCCTCGCCTTGGGAAGATTCTTCAAATGCTGAGGCGATTCCGTAGCGTCCAAAAAGATGCAACGCAGATCCAGGCGACTCATGAGTGCTTCAGAAACGCCGTCAGGTATCGAGCCTTTCAGAGATTCAACGGTCTCTCTTGCTGCTTTCAGGACATCTTTAACGTCTTGTGTGGGAAATTCAGTTAACAATGTACGATTGTATGTATTAGGTACAAAATCTTCCTCCTGGAGCTGCAGTTAGTAGAAAGATCAAGTCGTAATGGAGGATGCGGCGTACCTCGTAGAAGTGCTCAGACTTGATGCGCTCATTTACATGTCCACATGCTTTAAGCATTCCTAGGCAATAAGCCCGGAGAATATCAAGCATAGGCTCTTGGTTCACATCCTGATTCCCATTCCTAATGAATTTGGCCTGTCGGATACTGCCAGGCTCAGGCATCAAGAGCGCGTCCACGTAAACACTGGTAAATATTGTTTGAGACAAGGGGTATCCCAAATGCCAGGACATCTTTGTAATAGCCATCATATCAGTCCATATTCACATAAATACACCAACTTCCTCGTCTATCTACTCACCTCATGGCACAAAAGTTGATCCATGATACCAAGCACCTCCTCCGGAAGCAACGGTCGTGACACGTCATAAAGCACCTCGAAGTCCTCCCCGGGCTGGACGCATCCGCTGTCCATTTTGGGATCCATAATCTACCACAGCCATTAGTGAGATGTCAACCGAATGCGAGGTAACAAAAATACCAACTTCCAGGGCGGCGACGGAGTCAAAAAGTGTGAAGAAGCCATCCTTGACTAGCTCGCCGGGTTCCAGCGCTATAACATATTCAGTCACTGCACAGTATTCTCCTACAAGGCCGGATACATACTTCTGACCGCTGCCGCAAACTTATCCCAAATGTCAGTGACAATGATGCCCGCGGTCCTTAAGTTGGGCGGCGGCAACAGCGGCTCAGGGCTGTGGCCGCCTAATGATAGTCGGGAGATTTCTGCACGTGCCATTAGCAAAGACTACATGTCATGAAATGTGACAAAACAAATAAAAATAAAATGTACCGTCTGCTGCGCCGATTCCATGATCGGCCATCTCGAAGACACTAAAGCCAGATTGGTGGCATAGCTTAATAGCCTGGGATGTTGTTGTAGATATAGAAATGTTGTCGGGACGTCGTGGCTGGCTGGCACAAGTTTCTGAGGTTCACAAGTGGATGGGGCGAGGGGCTCCAGTGCGTGACACCGAGCTTGGGCAAGAACTATCTGGCATTAAAGCGTGCACCACCATGACATGGACATGTATCGCTCTTTTTTTCCCTCCCGGCACAGTTCAATTGCAGTACGGCATAATGTAGCAGTCGCGTTTTGACAACAGATTACTTCACTGATTGACCACGTGTTGGGCGTCTTGTCGCCGGTCCCATTCATCCGGTTCGACAAAAACGCGCAAAATGCAAGTGATGGATACGAATGTTCGCCATGTCGGATTGACGTAGTCTAGCAATCGGTATGATACAGCAGCACTATTGCTTTTTGCAAGGATCTCCAAGCACATCTTCGTGCTTCTCCAACCACCCCTGGGCCCCTATTAACCACTCTCGTCTGCGTCTTGCTCCCTCACAAGCCCGGTATCCTTCTTATCCTTCTTCCATCTCGTCGGTATGTAGAAAATTAAGAAGAAGCGCTCTCAGCCATGGCAGCAGCGTTGGCGGCTCCAAGGTCCTTGGCGTCACCCTGCTTGCCGTTCTGTTGCGGTAATTATCGGTTAGCTTCCACCCAATTGCCGCTGCTCAAATCCGAAATTCAGCAACACATACCGACCACTTGGCGAAACGCAGGTCCATCTCGCCGCGACGCTCAGCAACGATTCTCTTGTCCTCCTTGAGGCTGCGGCGAACGGCGCGGGCCGCAATGGCCAGGTAGCGGTTGTAGCTATTGAGGTCGTCATGTTAGCATCTTCGGTTCTCCGGCGGTAGCGCGCGTACAAATCGTAGCAGTCGCAATCGGCGCATCGGTGAATGCGTCAACAAGAGGGAGAGGGTCAATTGACGTACGTCAAGCCAGCGGCTTTCCACGCAGCAGTCATTTTAGTGGTATTGAAGAGGTAAGGTTGATCGGGTAGGTGATCAATGATAAGTGACTGGTAGCCCAATGTTTGCTCGAACTGATCGGGAGTGGGCAGCCTGAGGCACCAGGAGAATAACAGTCACGTGGTTTTTTTGCTGAGCTCAAGCCGCACATACTCGTGCCACGCCCCACCATTAGGTAATTCAGCTACAGAAGCTCTCACCACCTATGGTGGTGCTTATTAGTAAGGCGGGCATATTAGTAAGGCGGGTAGGTTAGGGTTA